TGTTTTAACTTGGTTCGATTTTGAAGGTAGTATGGAGTATATACTTCCTCCGTCCGGATTATTTATTCACTTTTGACTTTTTTTGGTCAAAATTGGTAAACTTTAACCTCAAATTAAATAAAAATGCTATTATATATTGATACAAAAGTAGTTTTATTAGATTTATTATATAAAATATTTTTAAAATATTATTTTATCTAATTAATATACAATATATATTTTATTTAATTATACATCAAAGATCGAAAACAGTTTACTCAAAAAGTTAAAACTCGAGAAATACTCTGGACAAAGATTACTCTGAATTTATCCCTTTCGAGAGTTGCAGTACACTCCGTACCCGAATACCAGAGGGACCCAAGCTACTGGATAGGGTTCATCGTTTTAACTTTTTACTCTAAAATATTACCTCCGTCCTCGAGTAATTGTTCACTTTTAATTTTTCGAAATTAAAATTAACAAATTTTGACCACAAGCGAAATCAAATTGATAATAGATAATAATATTAAATAAAAGTCAAATTAGATTTATCTTATCAAATATTTAAGCTTGTAGTTGTGACTGGGAAATGTTAACAAGGTTTGTGCAAGAAACCTTAATTTTTTTTAAATTAAAAAAAACTAGGTGATAGTGAGATTTAAATTCATGACTTTTTAGTTAACAAGGTTTCGTTAAAAATGTCACAGAACTAACTTGATCAAAAGCTCAAGACTCTAGTTGTAGTTAGGGCTGTGCATTATTCGGTCCGGACCCGGACCGACCCGAAACCCGGCCAAAACCGGACCGGTCCTTATTCGGTCCGGTCTCCGGTCCTCATTTTTTCCTTATTCGGGTTCCGGTCCGGTCCGATCCGGTCCACCGGGTTTCGGTCCGGACCGGTGGACCGGTTAGATTTTATTTTTTTAAATATTTTTTAATGTTTTTTCTTATACTTAAAATTAGTTTAACTTTAATTCTAAATTTTTTTAAATGTTTTGATTTTATTATTTAATATAATTTTTTAAATACATTTCAATTTAAAATAAGATACCAATTGTAATGATTTTTAAATATTTTTAATATGAAAAGTGTGAAAAAGTAAAAATTATCTTTAAATTAGCGATCTAATGCATTTCAAATTTATATACCAATACTATAACTTAAATTTGTATTTTATCAATAATAAAACTCTAATCCGCAGTGAAGAAGAAATATTTTCATTGAATAATTGTGTAAAGGTTACATCAATATATAGTAGAGGCTTCAATCCTAATCATAGTAGGAGAGCCATATTAGGAAGTCTATACAGGTATGGTAACATAATAATTACAAAGATAGTAAATATAATTAATATATTTAGCATGCTCCCGGCTACGTCGGATGTGGAGGAGGTCGAATTCCCAGGCTGGATTTGAACTCGAGGAAGAGCAGAGATGGCAGTCCTTTGGTGAATATGTCAGCATACTGGGAAGAGGAGGGCACGTGAAGGACGCGAACCTGACCGAGTGCAACTTTGTCGCGGACAAAATGTATGTCGACCTCCACGTGCTTGGTCCGCTGGTGCTGCACTGGATTGGATGA